CTCGCGTCCTGATTCGAAAGATTTAGAAAGTTTGGATGGTAACCTCACAATCGTTACGTTTCAAAAAGCTTCTTCGTTCCGACTAATTGAAAATTGTGAAAATTGCAGCCATGGCCGAGTTGGTTAAGCCGGCGTGTCTACACGTGAGTTATTCGTTCGAACCCGTGTTCGGTCACTGTTGGGGGGATTCCAGTGTCATCCGCCTCCTCAAGGTGGGACCGGCTGCGACAAAATGGATGGCATCACCGTCGAAAATGATCGGTCTTGCATTAACCAGGACTGGGGGCCAAAAAACAATCTGTTTGAACTTTCTTATCTAATTTCGAGCAAATCAAGCAAATGATCATGTTTCTCTATGCTCAATTTAAGTCATTTACAAGCTTATTTATGCCTGTTTTCAGTTTTCTGTTGAAATTTATTTCAATTTTTTCCCTTATTACTTATGGTTTAAAAAACCTTTTTTTTGTATGAAATTTCTTGATTTTTTAATGATTATTTTTAGTTTTTTGGTTATTTTTCTATAAACACTGTTTTGCATTTTATTTCTGCGTGTTGTGAAAAAAAAGATTTGAACAAAAAAACTAGAGCGTAGACACATCCGGCAGTCACAGCAAAACAGGCACATCAAAAAACAGTGTTTGTAGAAAATGATTAAAAAAGCAAAATCCCTTTAAGTAAAATAAATAAATACGATAATCATAATCATAAAATCATCGAATCATGAAAAAAATCAAAATAACAATTAAATAAACAAAACTAATCATACTGATAAAACAAAACTAATTTGAAAAAACATTTCGCAGTACACAGTATTTGGCTATCCTTGTTGTTTTAGTTTTTTTTCCGTTTTTCATGCAAAATTGGGTACCACAAACAAGAATCGGCCTGGGTTGAGTGATATATCAAATCAAAGCCCTCAGAGTTGTGATTCGACCAATATTGAAAAGTTTCCAAAAAATTTTTTCTAAACCAGTTTTGAGAAAAACCTATTTGAAGTTTTGATTTTTCGTACTATTTTGGGCGAATAAAGCGAGCGAGCAGTCTTATTTTAATTGCTTGAAAGCTTACAATAGCTTTAAGTAAAGCGTTAAAACTTAGTTTTACCTGGGAAGTAACGTTAGTTTATTTTGCGTACTTTAGCGTCTTTTTGGAATCAAAATTTTTCAAAAGTTCTTAAAACCTCAAATTTTTTCGCTTTTTTTGTTTTTTAGTAGGTCTTCTTCAATAATTAGATTTCAGTTTGCGCATTTGAATATTGCTGTCGAATATACCTAATACCCAGTCTTTGTTCAGCTCGTTTCATCACAAGCCGAAAAAAGTGACAGTAATTTTCAAAATTTTTATGTATTTTTCTAAGACTATGGCCGCAACATTCTGTGCTACTTGCACTGTAACTGACTATCCTTGTTTTTTGGTTCGTAAAATGGAAATGGGAAGGAAGTTTGCATTTGTGTCTGTTTTGTGGTTTTTTTTTGTTGTCCACGCAAAATCAGGCTCCACAAATAGTTTGAGAATACGTTAAAATTTTAAATTCAAACAAACGTTTTTGCACGTTTTGTGCATATTCAGATATTAAAAGTCTGAGCTATCATACAAAATTATATTAAAGATCATAAAGAGTGTCATACATTTCATCAAATAAAAACTTAATAAATTTAATCAATCGAAGCATCAAATTAAATACTGAAATTATGTAGCAACGATTATGTAAGCAACTTTTAAATTAGCCACAAACTTCGGAGATTTTTAACTTTTTTTTTCTACGTTTTCGATTTGTTGCTTATGTCTGAAAGTAAACTTGAAATCCAGTGACGCTTGTTTGTTGTGTCAGTGAAAGTTTTGCACAATATATTGACCGCCAGCAATAGTTATTGCAATAATTTTTCTGTCAAAAATACGTATTGCTATAATTTTTATCTAAAAATCTGGTACTGCAATGATAATATTGCAAAATATTGCAAACTATTGCAATACAATATGTTTACCTAGCCCTGCACGCAACCCTACAGGTTCCTTTGTTCTGCTCGTTATAGTATTTTTTGAATATCCTCCTGAATATCCAAAGAACTCGGTTTTGAGCCCTCTGTTAAAGCCCTTAAAATCGTGATTCGAACCATTCTAAAAAATTTCAAAAAAGTTTTCACAGTGACGAGAAAAACCGGTTTGAAGTTTTTTGATTTTTCGTCTTATTTCGAGCGAGTAGGCTTGCTTGAAAGCTTACAATAGCTTGACTTAAAACGTATAAATTTAGTTTTACTTGGATAACGTTAATTTACGGTGAGTATTTTAGCGCTTTTTGCAAACAAAATTTTTCAAAAATTTGAAAAAAATGCGAAAAACATGATTTTTTTTTGGTTTTTCCTGTAATTATTTTATATTTTGCCTATTTTAGTATGGCTGTCGAATATACTTAATTCCCAGGCTTTTTATTCAGCTCCATTCATCACACCACGCCTAAAAAATCGACGTTTATTTGAAAAAAAACATTAATGTATTTTTTAAGACTATGGTCGGAACATTGTGCTATTTACACAGTAACCGGCTATCCTTTTTATGTTCTAGGTTTGTTCTGCTGCGTGAATAATGTCTCATTTTTTAATCTTAAATTGAATCGCTGCTCTTAATTTGTCGTTTTGTTACCTTGAGCGAGTTTGTTGTTCATATTTCCGTGGTATTTCACTTTTTGCGTAATATAATCTAGAACCGACAAAACAAATCTAGAACCTTCAGCCAATTACAGAATTAATTATTGCGCTAAACAAATAATTGTTGATAATCACTGTTCAACTACTTCTCTACAAAAATAGTTTTTTTTTTCACCTCGCTTTTTTTATAAAATGGAACTCACTGCCAGTAAAAACAAGAAAATTTGACACACTGCTTCAACGTTTAAGAAAAAAACGAAATAGTTCTACACTAGTGAAATGCAATTTAATCCAGTATGTACGCACACAAATACATGGCGTGAGTTCCGTTTTCATTAAAAGGTTTGTAAATATCACCAGTTTATTTTACCGATGTTTTCAAGGTTGAATTGATTTTAATTTTTGTACATTTCTATTTGATTTATGTTGTTAAGTCGTAATTTGATGTTTTTATTCCAGCAGTCATTTTTTTGCAATTTAAATACTTGCTTAATTAGTTTTTTTATAAACTATATAATCAACTAACCTGAAGTTTGAACTAATCTTTATTACACTTACTGTATTGATGTTTAGACTTTTATACAGAAATTGAAGTGTTTTCTTCTTTTCTTCTAATTACTAGCAAAAATTTTGAACAGACAGAGCATGCTAATTTTGAGTATGTTATGTATGCAAGCTTGAGGTTTTAGGCGACCTTGAGTCATATATTTGTCTGAAAAATAGCTTTTTTATGCAAAAGTGTTCATAAATAGTTCATTTGCTCTTTTTAATTAATTTTGCCTGTTTCAACACTTTGCAACTCTCATTAATACGCTGTTATGTGTCATGATATGACAAATTTTAAAATTGAATTCTTCGGTTTTCCGACTATTACTTATCGTTCGTTCTTAAAAATAACTTCCTCAATTCTCATTTTCAACGTATTGTACGCTTCATTTTTGCAAAATTTTCAGGCATACCGGTCAAATGACACATTTAATTCCGACAATTCTTATACTTTTTGTTTTTGGTACTTTGACTGTAGTTGAAAGATTTGGAAATTTTTTTCTGAGTTTGGTTTTTTATTTATAGATCTCCAATCAAGTTTTGTGTTCGTGTTGAAATTGTTTTTAATATTGTTTATCTTGGACCTTTTACTAGATTCGATAAACAAATTTGATTGACAGATATAATGACGCCGTTTAGTCTGGTTAAAGAAAACGATTTAACGGTTTATCAGCGAAGTTTTGTTTATTTTAACCGCTTCTTTTTTAAACCTTCCAATAATCTATTTTCTATTATTTATTTAAATGCATGCTTCAATATCTTGCCATGGTTCAGCTTTTTTAACCAAATATTATTGCTTAAATGCTTTTAGTCTCCGAGATGAGACGTTTTTGAATTTTTTAAAGTGTGGCTGCTTAATCTCGTTAAAATTCTGAGATGAATTTTTTAAATATTTAATAATAAAGTTGCAAAACACTTGAAATTCGACGAGGTTTTTTGAAATTCTCAACAATCTGGTGGGGTGCTGTCAAGGTTTTCTCAATGCATTTCCTTTTCCTAGAAATGATATTTTTTTGATTTTTTCAAAAATTTTCAAGTGTTAGATTTCATTAAAAAATATATTTTTCGAAATTTGAAATTGTCGAAGCATTGTATATATCTAAGGGCTCATGAAAAATAAGAACTAATTTAAACAAGAGTCTCAATTATGAATTCAGTGATTTCGCCAATGAAATCTTTACATATGGAAAGTCCAGTTGTATGCTAACAGCCATTTTAGGTTTGGTGTCTGAGTTGAAAACAACGAAGATCAGAAACCCAGTAGTTTTGGAGATTTGACCATTCGGGTTTTAAAAGAAACTTTAATGTGATTTTTTTTGTTCAAGTTTTAAAATAAAAAGCTTATTCGAAAGCCCCCGTCTTGTGTCATGGCTGTATTAATTGTTAAATAGTTTATTTCATATTTTTATAAGCAATTCTCACGTTCATTGATCTCTTAGAAGCACCGGAGGAGCGTTACACGTTATTTTAAAGTTATCTTAATTGAATTATTGCATTGTGGTCTGGTAAAAGGTCGGTCTGGTAAAAGACCTAGCCACGTTTAAAAGGTTAAACAGTATTGGTGACAAACAAAGTAACTGTATGATCTGGTTTAAAAGAGTTTGAAAATTTTTTTTCTGTCGATGTGTCATTTTCAGAGCTGTCACCGATAACGTTAGCAATTAGGCTTATTGAATGAGTTAACTTTTTAGCTCAATTCTTTTTTTCAGTAGATATCAAAACATTGCTACTGTATTGATTTTTACTGCAATAAGAAAGGTAGAGTTTCGGGCTATCATGGAGTTTCATCTTCAGTCAATTTCTTTTCAGTCCTTCAACGTGTAAATGCAAGCGGCTAGACAGCGATCACGACAAAAGTGAGCCGTTTTCAACTGATGAAACTGAAGGGAAGTGGGACGCCAAAAAACATGCTAAAGAGATTCCCTGTGATTATTTTGGGGATGTAGAGCTGACCGACAAAAGTGGATCGAAGAAAGTTTCAAAGGTATGATATTTATCTTAGTTCGTAGTCTTGATAGACAGTGTTTGCCGGATGATTAGACTTCTGAAGACAAAAAGAATGCGTAATTATGTCTTTTCACATGAGAGAGCAACTGTACTTGTTATTGGGAACTGGATTTTTTTAAAAACTTTTCTAACAAGATAACCAGATAAACAACTTTTCTTACAAATCTGCGGAATTGTTCTTGTTTTTTATAGAGTGCTGAGCCTCTATAAAAAAAACAATAAAAATTCCGCAGATTTGTAAGAAAAGTTGTTTATCTGATTTGTAAGAAAAGTTGTCGAAGAAAAGTTGTTTACTTTGGCCTTCAGGCCTCTCTCACATTTTTTAGAGGTCAAGCTTGCTACTTTGGAAATTAGGTTTAAGTTTCGAGTCCTGGTTGTAAATTGCTTTTCGTGGATATGTGGAAAACTTGATTAGTCGGACTATTGTTTGTCTACTTATTGTTTTTCGCCGTACTTTCTTTTCCGATTTAAATGTTTTTTTTTACCCATGCGATAAGCAAGGGTATTGCAATCAGGTATTAGACTTTTTTCCAGTAAATAACTCCAGCAAAATTAGAAATGGTAAATTTAGACTCAGCTCATAATAAATTCATACTTCTTTGTCTATCAGGTAGAGGTAAGGAAGACGCCTGGGACGTGGGTTCGAATCTGACAGGACCTGATTTTTTTTCAAACGGGAAGCATTCCGTTTCAAAAAAATTGTCGGCTAATTATTGTCTGCTTAGGTTTTGTCGGTTTAGTTTCCACATGTAGAATGTTTTTTGCTCTACGCAAGTTATGTTGCTGAGTTCAATTTCAAGAATATCAGGCATCGCAATCGACGTATTTGAAAAATAAAAATAAATGAGTAATCATTCTGTGCGTAACTTCATAATAATTGTGCCGAGATAATCCATCGAGATTAATTTACAATTGAGCCAGGGAATCTGTAGAGATTTGCTTACAGTTTTATTAAATAAGAAAATAGTGACAATAAATTGTTTCCAATTTAGCCAAGTGGCAATATAAATGAACAAAAAAACAAGCAAAAACAGATTGGGAGGACGCTATTACACCTGAAGGTCTGTTTCTACCCGCACTGACAAAAATGGATTAGGATCGATTTTAGTATGAAAAAAGAACGTTGATTAAGTTTAGATCGAATTTAGTATGAAAAAAGTACGTTGATTAAATTTAGATCGAGGTTAAATAAAATAGGTGAAAACTGATTTAGATTGACTTAAAATCGATTTATATTGATCTTAAATCCCAGCTAAAAAAAATTAATCGAAATTGATTTTAAATCAATTTAAACGCTTTTTTTTCAGTCTGAATTTGTTTTTATTTTTAAGGGGATTAAAACGGAATAAAATCAATTTAAATCGATTTTTTTTTCATTCGAGATTTATCAGTTTCGAATTTTTACTGCCATTGCCTATCATTTTTCATTTTACATCCATAGCGTATTGTAGCATAAAAAAGACCAAACGAAAACACCAAAATATCGATAAAATTCTATAATTTTCTTGCATATTTTGAGTTAAAAAACTGATCTACAATGATTCTTTTCTTGATTCGTTTTATCCAAAATTTTGCCCGAAATCTGATTTATCTTCGAAATTTTCTATAATTACATTGCCCATTTTGGAGCTTAAAATCTGATTTATGTGGACAATTTTTTTGAATTTTATAACATATGGCAAGAGTGTTTATATTTAAAAAATCGAGAATAAAAAAATCGACAATTTTTTAAAGGATGTTTTTTTCGCCTTGTTAGCAAAAAAATTGATTTAAGTGGGTCTGAAAATCCATCCAAATCGATTGAAATCGATTTTTTAGACACTTAAAGTGATTCAAAAATTTCAAAAAGATCAATTTAAATCGATTTAAAATCAATTTAAATCGATCCTAAACCATTTTTGTCAGTGCGGATAACCTATCAAAAAGCTGGAAATAAATTCTGTCTTCTTGATGTCTGATTGCCCTATCATCTTATTAGCATCTTTATATCGGGCATGAATAATAAATTTGATTATTAAGTTTCTGATCTGCTTGCTTATACGACGAGCTTTCTTTCTTTCAGTATATCAGACTCAGCGACGAAACAGATCCGGCCACTATCCTTGACCTATTTCTCAAGCGCTGGGGTATAAAAGAACCCAATATCATAATCTCGGTCACAGGTGGTGCATTGGATTTCCAGCTAGACCGAGAGTTGAGCGTCCAATTCAAAAAAGGACTGGTGAAAACAGCCGCAGATACCGGAGCATGGATAGTTACGGGCGGAACCAATACAGGTGTGTATGTAGAATCCATGTTTTGGTTATGGGTCCACCTAACTTTTTCCATAGATCTTTTTTAAATTTTAAGATGAACAGTTGTCACCTGATTAAACGATCTGAAAAGAAACTGCTAATATGCGTTTGACTTGTCAAGTGATCATTACAAAGCCATTGTTTGAGATTATCGAAATATCTTCTTTCGTTAAAGTAGTCTTTGTTTTTTTTTCTCTCAGGTGTGATGGCATATGTGGGCGCAGCTGTGGCTGAGCAGCCTCTGAGAGTGCAAAGAAACCTCACTCTGATTGGTGTGGCCGCCTACGGAATTCTGTTCAACAAGGACAAATTAGCCGGCAAAAATGGTGAATCAGCGTTTGCTCTTGTTCCAATTGAATCAAAGCTGTTTTTTTATTGCAGCATATAGAAACTCGCTTCGTACAGCTAATGCCAAATTGTTTGTTGGCATTATCATTTTCGGTCAAAGAATCTTATATATTAAATAAAAGTCAGAATTCGCGATGGAAGCAATGTTTAAACAAACGCAATGTTTCAATTTGTCGACGCAGAGTTTTATAAATTCTTTTGACTCAACGTTTAAGAAGACTTTTAGTAAAAAAGCTAATTCTGAAGACAAGATGAACTCAATTCCACTTCAAGACTAGATAGTCGCTGTCAATTTCGTGTCCGAAATTTTGCGTGCTCAGAGTCATCTCAGTCTAAAACTAAAAATAGTAGCAACCTCATTGCTTTAAAATTGACTCAAATTGATTTGCTCTAAGCATTAACTTGAAATATTTCAAAGCTTTATTTCTTGGATAGCCTGCGTAGTAGAAAAAATTCGACCTATCGCGATTCGATTCAAGATCTAAAAATAACTGGAAATTTGTCTACGTTTTAGTGCTCAATAGGCTTCAAAAAATTAAAAGTTTGTGTTTTTTCTTATGTTTACTTGCGTTCATTACTCTTTTCCAATTTTCGATTGGCTATGTTCTTGACCTTTTCGGTGTTTTAGTGCGATTGGATTCAAGCAAAGAAAGCAACTTGAATTTTTTCAATTTTTCATTGCTCCTGCTTGTAAGCTTGCACGAAAGAAAACTTAACCTATCCACTAAACAATTCAAACTATGAAACAACTTGAAGTACTTTGAAGTTTCATCGCTCAATCACTTGCTTGAAAAAGTTCCAAATCGATTCACTCTTTGTAAACAACTTGAAACTGTCTGAAGTTTATTTGCCCAAGCTCATAAGCTTGCTGAAAAAACCTTTATTTTTTTACTAATAAAATCAAGCTATCAAATTAACTTGAAAGTTTAAATGGTCAATATCTTGTTTGAAAAAAAGTTTTGCGACTTTATTCAAGTTCTGGACATATTTTAAGCCGGACATTTTTTAAACCAAAAGAAAACAACTGGACATATTTCAAGCCAAAAGAAAAGTCGCATTTTTTGTGAACCAACTCACGCTTGAAAATCAGGCAATATTTTTCAGTTTTTGCGAATCGGTCACTTTGTTAATTTTTTTTTCAAATACTTCAAAAGTTTCAACGCTTGAATAGCTTGCGTTGAAAAACAAAAGTTTTACCAATCGACTTAATGTCTGCCAAAAATATCATCGCTTGACGAAATCAGTTATCTATTTGTGAATCGATTCCTTCTGAATTGATTTAATTAATTCAAAGTTCTGTCGCTTGAATAGCTTGCTACAAAATTCTTACGTTTTTCGAACCGACTTGCTCTTTGAAAGCACTTGAGACGTTTCATCGCTCGAATGGTTTGCTCAGAAAAAGTCAATTTCGCGAAACGATTTAACCTATGAAATTACATTAAACGTTTCAAAAGTTTTATCGCTTGAATGGCTTGTTCAGTAAAACGTGAATTTTTGCGAAACAAACATGAATCGAAATGACCTACAATAATTTTGTCGATTGACTAGCTTGCTAAGAAGTTGAATTTTGTGAAATCAATTCACTCTATAATTTATCTTGAAAAGTTAAAAGATTCATCGCTTGATTAGCTTGGTTGAAGTTTTTATCGCTAGAAAGGCTTACTCAGAAAAGTTTTGCAAATCAATTCACAATATCGAACAGCTCTCAGTTGTTCAAAATTACATTGCTTAAATAGCTTGTTCAGAACTAATTTTTTGCAAGCTGATTGATCAATGGAGATAGGCTTGCTTTTTGAATAAAGTTAATTTACCTAAAACTGCCAATTTCGATTTCAGATTTCAAAGTATTTATTATCCCGCAAAAACCATGTCTAAAAAAGTTATTGGCCTATAATGCTGTAGTTTTGACCGATTAATATGCTCAAGGTCACCAATGTTGCCAACAGCTTGGCAATAACTATATAATGCGAAAAAAGCATTTTTTGAAATCTCTTGATCACCAACCAATCACAGGATAAGCCTTCAAATCTAAGCCGCTTTTATTAAGAGTTTATGAACGTAATTCAAATTTTTATACGTCGCGATGATTTTGTTTTTTTTTTCAGGAAAAGTTTCAAAATTTGTTCAGCTCAACTTTGCTTTTTCGCGGTTTGACGTTTGATTTCTTTTTAAGTTCAGTGCCCTTCCTTTGTGAAAAAGAAGGCAAACTCCACTTTCGAACAGCGAAACGGTAAAGGTCACGAAAAACGCAATGGATTTCTTTTTTCGAAGATTAATCAGATTACCCAGTGAATCAAAAATGTTACCTATTGATCCAACTTTTTTTAAATTGGGATAATTTTGAAAACTGGTCATCTATTTTTTCCGTTTACTTGCGTTCATTAAATCTTTCCAACTGTCTTTTGGGTATGTTTTGTTTCTATGTAATGCATTTCCATTTTAACACGACACTTTGTTCTATAAGTTTCAGCCGAAAGCATCAGTTATTTCAATATAGCTATAATGTTTTCCTGACTCTTTTTTCAAGCATAATCGATCTCTCCGAGCGTCTCGATCCGAAGGTTTCGACAGATTTGCAGAAGCTACTAAGAAAACAACATGAAAACAATTCTACCATTAAAAGCTGCCGTGGGCGAGTGGGGTAAGGCACTCGTCTCTCAACTCAAGGGTCGTGCGTTCGAGTTCCTCGTAGGTCACGGTGGGCTACAAATGTCGCCCATTAAGAAGTTGATTTTGTTCCAGTGAAGGGACAGAAGGCGGAATATGCGCTGCCTGTTCCGGGAGAGAAGGGCATTCCTCTGAACCCGGACCACACGCACTTCATTCTTGTGGACAATGGGTCCATTGGAAACTTCGGAGTGGAGATCAATTTGAGGAGTAAATTTGAAAACCACGTCAAGAACAATCTTGGAAAAGACGAAGTTCCAAGCGACGCAGAAAGGAAATCATCGCGTTAGTTTCTTATACACTTCCTGAATTCCTTTCCCCCCACCTGCAATTTTTTATAATTAAAATCACTGTTCGCTTTGTCCGATTGTCATGAAAATTGACATGCAAATAAATTAGGCCATGACAAGCATATTTAGTCTTCAAAACGAACCTTGTCAAGTGACTCGTTAGACCATAAAAATGATGCTCATGTGAGGTGGGGGGGGGGTAAGGAAAAAGAGCCAACAAATATATCATGCGAACTTACAATTAAATGTAGCCGGTGTATTTTTTGGCTCTGTTCCGGCATGTCAAATTTAATAGAAATCGGACTTTGTAAAACAAAATTTAACTTGTAAAAACACACCGGCGGGGGAAGGAACAGCATTTTTTTTTTTGAAATTATGAACAAATCGCGGCTCACTTATGGCATTAAAATTTTGTGGAAGTATAGTGCAAATATCCTGTGGTTTCTTTTGACATAAGACTTAAATGAGTGGAATGTTCGAAATTTTCACGAAATTCTAACGGGTTAAACAGTTAACAGCTGAAATTCAAGCCGAAAATTAAAGATTCAGACAGCAAATTTGGGCAATAGACGCCATTTTTCAATCAATTTCAAGATAAGAACTTGAACATTTTTCAGGAATGGAGGAAATTGACGAAAGTGAAGGTAAAAACTGATGTAGATATTTGAACTAGCTTTTAATGTGTAATTGTGTTAGCTCTATCTTTCCTCTGTCCTGTCATTTCCTTCTAATGGTTTCTTTTCAAAGTTTGATTGAATCTTTTTAAATCTGTATTTGGAGTATGTTGGAATCTCAGCAGTTGTGGGGCGTAATTTGGTAGTCAATTTTTCGGCGGATTTCTGTATTCAATTTTTTTGTACATGCCGACTTTGTTGTTTCGACTTTCGATACGAAAGTAACGGAATATTTGTGCTCGGGGTGGGTTTTTTTTTCTTCAGACAAATTTCGACTTTTTAACTAGCCATTTTTGACGGAATTTTTTTATATCATTCAAAAGGTATTGTTGTCTTGAGCTCAAATTTGAAAAGATATTTCACCTGTGATCATTTTTCATAAAGTTATGAGGGTTTAAAGATTGCCTTTTTGGCCATTTTGACCAATTTGGGACAATTAACGCGCGATATAATTCGCGCTATTAACGCGTAAGCGGAGATTTAATCCGTCTTATAAATTGTTCCAAATTGGTTGAACGAAGCTTATTTGCCATAATTGATTTGTTACAAGGAACGAAATTTCTCTTTTTGTACTTTATATGGCGTGTGGGGATGATTTTTATAAAAATTTTCAAATTTTAGAAAAAAAAAATTTTAATTTTATTTTATTTCATTTAATTTTTTAATGTTATTACTGCTGCTCCATAAAACTTAAAAGGCAGTCGGAACAATCTTGTTGTGTTTGTCTTTCCCTTTTCAAGCTTGATTTGTGCTGCATTATTTTAAGAAACAAACAGATTATAGTCCTGATTGATGCTTTTTGCGTGCGGTTTGTTTTACTGAAGTGGGATTTTTTAAACTATGTTTTTAAATAAAAACTTTCCTTGTCGCAATCGCTGCAATGTTTCTAATCAGTGATTTTCATCTAAGACAGCTTATAGGTTATATTGGCATTCATCGAAATAGTTGGATAATTGAGGTTTTCGGTAAAGCTGTTGGTTTCGGCTACGCCAACTATATATCGCATGATCTGTGAGTGGATTTGTGGGACATAGATTTTGAAATCGTGTAACATTTTTCACTTGTTTTGGGCTTTGGGTTCATTAACGCAAAGCTCAGCTTTTATCTTTTTTTTTGCAAAGTTTTTGGCTGTATGCCTTATTCGTTCTTATAAACTCAAAGAGCTTCAAAGTGACTTATTTTTATCTTGAAAAGTTTTAAAATATCAGTTATCCAACTGCATGTTGCCTATGGTTAAATAGTATCGCGTGTGAACGAAAAGTTGATCGATAAAGGAAAAATTTGCTACAATGCAGAAAACACGGCTAATGTTTTTAAGAGCAATGAACATAGCGAGTACTCTTATATAGGTCTTGGTGATTTTATTGGTTTTTTTTTAGAAAGTTTTAAAATGCTCGTACAGATTCATACATATTAACACATTTCTGAATGCCTTTTAAGGTATATAAGCATTTTTTGAGTTTAATTCAAATTCATTTGTTGAAAATATGGTAAATTGCGCTCCCTAAATGCAAAGCACGGACATGACGCGAAAACAGGTGAACGACTTCTAGTTTCGAAAGTGATTTTAAATTTTAAGGGTTCCCTAAAAAATATGTTTTTTCCCTGTTCTCTGCGTTCTCATCCATGGCTCTAGGGTCTATACTTAACTCAAACTATACTTAACGGTTATCGGGCGTTTGCGGGGCGATTCGGAACGGTTTTCGGTGAGTAAAGTTACCAATGGGGCTGGGGATTAAGTAAGTCGGTTGATATCAAACAACACACGCGGAGTAAACCTGAGGATGAATAAAACCAACTTAACTTACTTAATATCACCTCCCTGACCACTTAGGATGATGTTACGGCGTACGAAATTTGTTGAACGGTCGTACGACGGTGCGTCACTACTAATCGGCTAGTAGCTCGACGAATTACCAAGAGGTTTGGGAATTAAGCAAGTCGGTTGAAAACCAACAACACACGCGGAGCAAACCTGAGGATGAAAGACAACAACCTAACTTGCTTAATTTTACCGTCCCGGACCACTTAGTCAGTCGTTGCGAAACGAATGTTTTGAAAAGCGAACGAATGCAAACAGGTATCAAGTCGTTGTGAACCTTAAGTTTACCAATGGGGTTGGAGAATCAGGCAAATCGGTTAACTCTCAACAACACACGCGGAGTGAACCTGAGGATGAAAAAAAATTAACTTAACTTGCCTGATATTAACTACCCAGACAACTAAACATACTTTAACTATACGGTTCAACGGAGTTTTGGACTAATTTTTCAGAAAATTTTCAATTTTCAAACAAAATTTTGTATAGTTTGGTTAGTGGATTCGAGTCATAACTGGTATCAAAAAACTAGTCTAGTAACCGTTAGTCTATGTTCCGATATTATAAATTTTCATTTCATCAATAAAATAGCCAACATTTTGGCTATCGAGAAAAAAATCTAGTTCCGGTTATCTAGTACCCGATTTAGAGCAATTTTTCTAATTTCAGTTTAATCAAACTGGCCAAAAATTTTCGGGTATCGAGAAAAATTAGGGGTGAGTACTGGCGTTGTGTCTCACATTTATAATATAAAACATCGTATCCGTAATTTATCAAAATTAAAAGTTTAGGTTCGGTCTTACAGTTTTTGTGAAGATAGGGCGCACCGATGAGATCGTTGGTCACAAACAGCCTCACTGAATAGCCCAAACCGCCTTGTTGCAAGTCAGAAACTCTGTCAGTGACTTATCGTCTGGATGGGTTACCCTGTCAGTGCTATTGAACTCCCAGACAGTATAATTGCAGGCAATTTTTCAGTATAACCGTTTTTGTAATAATAACTCGGATTATTATAAGGGAATTAACTAATATCTGTCCCTTGTGGGGCGCCAAAATGTGCGCTAATCTCCACAAAACAAAGTTAAAATCAATATTTTATTCGTATTTCTCGGTAAATACTCGTGTTTGGTCATAAATCGGAATATATCCACAATTTTTGTATAAACGGACATAATCAGTCATAAACGACTATAACTCAAACTTTTTACTTGCATCATCGTATATCGGACGCAACGCCAGCTTGACTTTTTCCGAAACTGCTTGCCTTTTGAAGCAATTAAAAACCAGCTTGACTTTTGCAGAAACTGCAAAAGTGCAAAAAAAAACTGCTCTTTTGTAGGTAGTAGTTTTAAATTTGAACGATTTATGTTTCACGCATTAGTTACGTTTTGCGCTGCATTATCCTCAGCCCCTAAAGACGGAAGAACAGGTGCGAGTTTTACTATCGGTCGTATCAGCTCGCTCGTAACAGTTTTGATATCGGCGGATCGGGCGCATCCGTCTTTGCCGTAGTGTAGTTTAGCAATACGGGCGAGTGGGTAATGCCCACGTGGGCTGTCGGGTTCGACTACCCAAACCAAGTCGCCGGTTTTCAGTATGACATCCGAATCATTATGCCACTTTGCTCTCTTGTTGAGAGTTGGTACATATTCACGCAGCCAGCGTGACCAAACTGCGTTAGCGTACGATTGTGCTCTGGCGTAACGCTTTTTATAATCAAAGTTATCTTCGAAACTTAACGACGGAAAGCTAGCTGCGCTGTGACCGAGAATGAAGTGATTCGGGGTGAGTGCCTCTAGGTCGTGCGGATCGGAACTGACCGGAGTGATCGGTCTTGCGTTAAGTAATTGTTCAACTAGGCAGAGCGTTGTTCCTAGAACTTCCTCAGTTAATCTCCTGTTGACTAATATGTCGTACAACACTCGCTTAACACTTCTCACTAGCCGCTCCCAGGCGCCACCGTGATGAGGGGCACTGGGCGGGTTAAACTTCCACTTAATGCCTTTGTGGACGAAAACGGCCGGGGCGACTTTGTTCCAATTTTGGACACAGGATAGGAGCTCCTTTTGAGCACCAACAAAATTCGTGCCATTGTCAGAAAGAATGGTTTTGGGGGTACCTCGCCTTGCAATAAATCGCTCTACGCCCATGACGCAGGAACTAGTATCGAGAGATGGAACCAACTCGATGTGAACTGCTCGAGTCGTGAGGCAGGTAAATAGGAAACCCCATCTCTTTTCGGTACTTCGGCGTATTGGCACTTGAAACGGGCCAAAGTAATCAACACCTGTGTTGGAGAAGGGAGGCTGCTTGTAACCCAGTCTTTCAATCGGTAGGTCAGACATAATGGGCACAACTGTTTTTGCTTTGCGCTTACGGCATGTTATGCAAGTATTTTCGATGTTTCCAAGTAACCAGCGCAACTTCAGAACAATGTATTTCAACTGAACTACAGCACGCATGTAATCCAACCCCTGATGTGCATGTTGAAAGTGCATATGCCTAATCAACATATGAGCAACTCGGTGTCGACCATCCAGTATTATTGGATGTTTGCTATCAAAGTCGGTATCAACAAGACGGCTGATACGTCCAGTTGAACGCAGGATGCCAGCTGGGCCGATGAACGGAGAATATTTAGCAATCCGACTTTTCTTTGTTATCAGTTTATCGGACTGAAGTATTTTCACTTCGGCAGGAAATGATTCGGACTGAGCGAGATAAATGAGCTTCTGCTCGGCAATATCTAACTCGGACGGGTCGGTTATTTCAAGCGTTTTTGTACGGAAGTGTTTATGCGATGGTAGCACACGAAGCATAAACGCTAAAACACGTTTGTACTTTACAATTGAGCTGAATTTATCCCAATTTTTAAACAGACGGATCGACGGCGCTTTCTCAGATGAAGCATCAACAACAAAGGTAGATGCAGTCTCAAGGCATGTATCAATGTCACAGAGTGGGCCTTTTAATTGGATCTTTTTGATGACATCAGTGTTCGGCTTGAATGGCCAATCACATGTCCTCAATATACTAGGGCCTCTAACCCAGCTGCTATCCTTGAGGGCTTCCGAAGAAATCCCTCGTGTGCCGGTATCAGCTGGGTTATCACCACTAAGTACATGATTCCATATATCTATGGTGGTGGACT